GGGCCCCCCCCCCCCCCCCCCCTCTGACTTTTTGACGGTAAAGTGCTTGCGCATTTGTAAATGAAACTTGATTCATCAGAAATAGTATCCTAAAATACAAACAATGCATAAATAAAATAGATATTACTGTCTGACTTTGTATTTAGGGGAGAAGATAAACAGTGAAACCGTGAGCATAAATATCGTGCTATAAACACAAAGCGCGAAAATAATGTAGCCTACTCAAATGAAATGAAAGCGTGTAAAGGCAGCATATGCGGGTGTAAAAGCGGCAACCACAGTTTTACCATAAATTTAAAGGAAGCCTAAAAGTATCTTCAATTATTTATGCTAAAACACACATTGTTCACGAAGGAGACACGGCATTTAGTGTAAAGCCTGTATGACATTTTAACTGTTCAGTTTCAAGAATTAGTAATTATAACACATTTCTGACATCAGCATTCAAAACAGCAAACTCGTGAGCTCTTGATATATTTTTAATATGAACGTGCGCTCTTTACAGTTTTAAATCCATGTAGCCTATTAATTTAAAAAATAACAATTTCAAATAAAAAAGACCAGTCAATGAAAATAAAAACAATAGATAAATGTTTTTCCACGTATGCATTATATAAACAGACTAGAAAAGTTAGACACGCGTGTATGTTCATTAATACATATGACATACTCACATATGCTCCACACTCGGGGGAATTTACAGAACGTTATAGCATACTTGACAACAAATTCATATCAAAACACGTAACTCCATATCCAAATGGGTGTAAAATTATTTACTTTTACTCCTTATCACTAAATAAGTGACTTCCGCAGATGTTTTCAGAAAAGTTGACTCTATTAGTCCATTGCAATCCCGTTGTCTCGCTGGATTCTGTGGTTCTTCGACGAGGAAGAAAATACCTGTAAAAATAGAAGAAGAAGAATGAAGTTAAGAATGAAGCATGAGCTTTTTGGAGAAAGACGTATCACGCTTGTATTTTGAGTTACGTTTAAATACTGTGATATCACAAACTAAGAAGTCTTGGTTAAGAATTTATAGAACGTGTAATGATAGTTATTGCTCATTAATAATTAACAAACGTTGACCGGGCCCTTCTCCCCCTTGCTCATTTCTACAAGTGGAAACACAATAGATCCTTTCCGTTCGCAGAAAACTATGCAGTGCGAAAGGAAATGCAGCATCCTAGTCAAAGGAAACCGAAATTAAAGTAAAACGCACGCAACCCCCCGTGCGCCACCTTTAAAAATATCCACTTGTTGTGCCGCAAATGGTTTATTGGTCGTATAGCGACAGGATACCCGGCCACCATAACTGTACTTTTGGTTAATGAAAAACACACACGCTCGACCAGTGCAGCGCAACATTGACAAAAAGCTAAAACACTGTTGAATTATTTGCTGGAATTCTCAAACCATTAATTTAAGCAAAGGAGGAAACATCTTGTGCGAAATGCAGTCAAAAAAAGTTCGAATCTGTTTTACAGCCTACTCATAAAAAATAAATTTAGATTTACACGCATAAGATACTAGATACACGCACAAACACAAACACACACACACACACACACACACACACACACATATATATATATATATATAAATGTGTGTACACACACATATCAAAAACTATCATTATGTGTCAAAATTAATATTTAATCATTTTGATTATCACTAAATATTACAAAAATAATAATAAACAGTTTTGTGTATACAACAACATATATGTTACCTATTGGATTTTGTTAAGTAGTTTTGCTCAGGCTCAGTTACTTTGCACTGTTTATATATAGGCTTTGGTTTTCTTTGACACGTCGTTTGCCATTTATAAATCACTATGAAATTACAGTGATGAAAAAAAGCGATGAAGCCGCGATCATCAATATGTCATTTTATCTATTGTGACCTACTTGTGCGATAAGACCTTGTAAATTACCTATCTGAAATATAAATAAGGAAGGATGAAAAATTATCAAATGTTGTACGGAATAATGTGTGTTTGGGGAATCTGCTACTCCAGAGCTTGTATGTTGACACTCTACTCTCCAATGGTTTGATAGGACCAAAGCCGACTGTATGTGGGGGCACAACGTGTCGATGTATTCAATTTAGTGTTTTAAAATTCCTATGTGACTCATATTGTGCAATCTCATTGGAGGGTATACGGAAAGGGTGAAGGGATTAAAAAAAGCTAGCTCTCTGCTCCGGGGTCCCCCGGCGCGTGCAATCACAGCCCCCCTCAAGGGTACTATTCTGCAGGCACGTCCGCTCGCTATTGGTCAGTGGCTGGTCAGATGGTACGGTTTCCCTCTGTCCCGCACTGGCACATAGCCACCCAGAACACCCCCCCACCCCCAACTAAAACCCAATCTCCGATAAACTACTAATAGCTAAACCACTTGGACTATAAAACACAACAAATCATAAACCAAGCAAAAGCGCCGTACCCTCCCAATGAGTTCCTATTTTGTAAACTCAACTTTCCCAGTGACTCTGCCCGGAGGACAGGAGTCGTTCTTGGGACAGATACCGTTATATTCCTCCGGATACACAGACCCTTTACGACACTATACCGGTGCTGCTTATGGAGGTTCCAGTGTTCAAGAGAAGGCGTACCCATCCTCTTTTTACCAGCAAGCGAACGGTGCCTACGGCAGGGCAACCGCCGCCGGTCCCTGCGATTATGCGACAGCAAGCTTCTACAGGGAAAAGGACCCAGCCTGCGCCCTCGCCAGCATAGAGGAACACTCGTTCGTTCTCAGTCAGGATCATCGCAAGCAAGACTGCACGGGGTCGACGGGGAAAAGCATCTACCCTGAGGCCGACGAACAGAAGCCGTCAGCGCCGGTTTATCCTTGGATGCAACGGATGAACTCTTGTAACGGTGAGTTCATGTTGTCTTTTTCACCCTTCATTTTTCTCATCGCTAATAAAGACGGAGCTAGAGCGTGCTATAAGTGACTTACAGCTTCACTGTACAATGCCGGAAGCCCATACAGTGCAAATACGCTCGTCTCCACCATAATGTCATACTGAAAGCAAAGCCACTCCTGTAAAGTTCTGTGAAATCTCTCATATGTACTGTACTTGCTTTTGAGGGAGGACTTTTAGAAATATGTTCGCTGCAAGGCTCATATCATTTTAATCACTGGAGAAGTTTGTCTAATTATAAACAGAGTGTTGCATTACCGTATGTCCTATTACAAAATGACCATTGTTGTTTTGACACATCTGTTGCTGTTTGTGCCTTCTTGTGATACGAACAATGGCGAGTACATGGCAATATAAAACACGTAATATATCCTATGATTAGACTACGCAATAGTTCACGAAACAGAGAAACTCTAAGGGACAATAGAAGCTGAATACTCTGTGCATTTTTTATAACTTGATTTTATTCGCTGCCCTTTACTAACCCTTGTCCGTTAACAGTAGTTTCATATTTGAAAATAAAAAGATCAGCAGTATGGACATCTTTGTACGCATATATGTTTCAGTCATGTTCAAACACAACTTTGACAAGTGCTGAAACTATTACTGGACACATTGCATCTATGTTCAGATATAAAGTTAGATATGAAGCATATAAATAGTTATTTTTATATCTGTAACGAAAATAAGGAGAATAACATTTCCTCTGCATTTTTCCTCTCAATATGCCTGCACATGCGTTTAAATTAGGACCATATAACTGAAAATTGCCATAATAATCATATTTAAATATGGTAAAAATACAAAATAGCAAAAATGTGTGATATTGTGGACTGTATTGTAGGTGCATAAATTTCACACTGTCTTGAGTGTTTCTTGTCATTGTGTCACCTCCGAGTTGTTTTCTCAGGACACATTTATCATTGTAATAATATCACAAATCACGCTTTCGGTGTTAATGGTTGACTTTTTTCTTTTATCTCATGGACAGGGACCTTCGGTAACGCTGGCCGAAGGGGTCGTCAGACGTACACTCGCTACCAGACGTTAGAATTGGAGAAAGAGTTCCACTTTAACAGGTATCTGACCCGAAGACGCCGCATCGAGATTGCGCACGCACTGTGCCTGACAGAACGTCAGATAAAGATTTGGTTCCAAAACCGGCGAATGAAATGGAAAAAAGAGAACAAAGTGATCAACGGTTCACAAACCAGTGGCGAAGAGGAGGAGGAGAAGAGGACAGAATGAAATTTTAAACGATAAAATCCCCCCCAAAAAAGAAAACTATTGCATAGAGGGCACCGGACACCACTCTGTAATAATACAAATGAAGACTTTCCATCATGTTAGAAACTGTAGCATTCCTGTTAACTCATAATTGTAATTTCTTTTGTGATTTCTTTCCTTTTGTACATGACGTTTAAAACATGTGGTTTAGTGCGCTCTTACGCTGACTTTAGATTTGCTCGTATGACTGAAATGCCCATGTTGAACGAAGCTATTTGAAATTTGTGTCATATTCGTGTTTATATTTAAGCTGTGTAAAAATAAAAAAATAAATTCCCATTGTACGGAAAACGTTTTACTATCATGTTTTTGTACATTAAACTTTAGTGAGACTGGGTGAAAAGCAGTTAGACTCTAGAAAAACATTCTAGCTACATAGTAGGAACACAACAGTCTGTATATCTAACTATCTATCTATCTATCTATCTATCTAACTATCTATATAAATGTTATATATATATACATATATATATATATAGAGAGAGAGATAAAACATGTGGTTTAGTGCGCTCTTACTCTGACTTTAGATTTGCTCGTATGACTGAAATGCCCATGTTGAACGAAGCTATTTGAAATTTGTGTCATATTCGTGTTTATATTTAAGCTGTGTAAAAATAAAAAAATAAATTCCCATTGTACGGAAAACGTTTTACTATCATGTTTTTGTACATTAAACTTTAGTGAGACTGGGTGAAAAGCAGTTAGACTCTAGAAAAACATTCTAGCTACATAGTAGGAACACAACAGTCTGTATATCTAACTAACTATCTATCTATCTATCTATCTATCTATCTAACTATCTATATAAATGTTATATATATATATATATATAGAGAGAGAGAGAGAGAGAGAGA